CTTGTATCGCTGAAGTTCCTCGGGAAGAAATTATACAGGAATTATCAAACAAGCAGATACGTAACATTATTATTGAATGCCAGATATGTATAAATGTAGTAATCATCTCCCACTTTCGTGTGTATTGAGACTTTTCTCCTGCACATTTAAAATTGGAACCAAGACAGGCTTTTTTACCCACAGATTTTGATACTGAATCTCCTTTCACAATTGTTGTGAACCTTATTAATATTTGAGGCCCATTTATGGTAGAGTTACTTCAATAGATTGCGGGAGAATTTTAAAGTCCTTTTTTTTTACTAGAGGATAATACACAGAGTAATGAATTCTTTGTCTGCATTTTGTTATTCAGCTATATATTCACATTTTCCTTGTTTCATGAACATGAATGTAACTACAGTTTTGTATATCAGATATAAATATGCGGGACAAGTATTTGGAATACACTAAAAGTGGACTACAGAATATTACATTATGTACCTCCCACTGAAAGCTTAAAATCATGTCACCAAATTCACCAGATAGCAGGAAAAGGCATCATAAAAATAATCCCGAGGGAGACCCTTTAGACAGCACCTGCTGGAGAGGGGTGATAATGCTCCTGCATCTACTCACCTTTACCTGTTCCACCCACTGCCAAGCAACTTGGTGTGGGTGCCCCACTTCCTTCAAGACAGAAATTTACCTGCTCAGTTTTTGCTGAACCTTGGCATCTCTACAAGTTACTAATAGATTTAAGAAATGCATAACCAAAGCTTTGATGGAGAAACTAAAAAAAAAAGGTTTAAATGTGAAGTTGTAAGTTCTTGGAGGCAAAAAGATCAGTTCTAAAGTTCAGCTTACCTATATAAACATGTTCTTAATTAACAATATGACAGAAGATACAAGTAAGTCATAAAAACCACCTTTTTCCCACTTCCAGATGAACTGCTGCTTCCTTTGCTCCAACTTGGTGTGTAGTTCCACACTTCTTTCAAGTACTGTTCTCCTTCCTGGAACACAAGACCAGAACAGAAGTGTAATGTTGTATTGGATATTCCCTATAACACAGTAGTCGGGTAGGGTCTGCTGACTGGAGGTTTGAAGGATACCAAGTTATGGTGTGTGTCTATCTCTCCAAACTCTGACTGAGTGCATGGTAAGTCCACCACAATCTTTATTAACAAACAAACATAACTACTAAAAAAAAGAGAGGCAAAGGGGGTCTGTAGTGAATATGTTGGACTGGCAAAAGAGAGAGAGAAGAGAAGTGAAACTTTTGTGAGCACTTTCTCACCAGTCCAATGTGTGCCTTCAGGTTAGTTAAGCTACAACATTAAGGTACAAAATAAAAATAAACCCAAATTTATAATAAGAAAAACAAAACATTTTACACTGCAAGTTAAAATGAAATGCTTACACAAGTTGAACTTAAATTTCAGTCTACTAAAAGTTTGAATAAATAAAAATCTGTTAAACAAAGGAGAACCTTGCCTTTGATACTAAAAATACAATACATTGTGCAAAGCCGAGGGGACCCCCATTACACGATTCGCCAACAGAAACAGAAAAGACTTCCATCTATTTGGGATATCATAAGCTACCTTTCCTGCAAGAAGACATGATTAACTTCCAATTAATGAACTAACTCCTGAACAGAGCTCTAATCATGAAAAGTTAGATGTGTTTACTTGAATAACTTCCAAACTGAACTAAATTAAAATACTGAAATTTTGAAAAATGTAAATATTAACTAAAAGAGTAGAAAACACATGGTACTATACCACAAAGATCAGGTTCTTTTTAAGTTTCAGAAGTAGAACAGAATGTTGTGTAAAAAAATATTGGTTATGTTTTAGAGCTACAAGAAGAAAAGAATGCTTAGGACAAGATTAGTTAGCTAGGTTTTGGTGCATGTAAAGAATGTAAAACATATAGATTTTGGATCCATTCTTGAGCTACAAAATAGGTTAGAAGCATAAAAGTTTGTTAGGCCTACGAGGTATAAAAGAAAGAGACAAATTAGGTAGTTATTTGGATCAGAAAGGAGGTTTGAGATATAAAAGTTGGTTAAGATTTGGGGAAAGTAAAAAGATGCTACATTCTTACTGTTAATTAGGTTTATACAGTGACACAGGTTTGAGTTATTAGTTAGGTTTTTGAGGTTGAGAAAAAAAAAGACTAGAAATATAAAAATTTGTTTAGTTTTTGTATCATAAAAGAAGGTTATAAACATAAAAAGAAAGAGAAGGTAGTTAAGTTTGGAAAATGAAGCTTAGAAAAATAAATGTTAATAACACGTGTGTATTACAACACCGCAGTTAATAACATGTGTGTATTATAACACCACAATTAATAACACGTGTGTATTATAACACCACAATTAATAACATGTGTATTATAACACCACAATTAATAACACACGTGTATTACAACACCACAGTTAATAACACGTGTGTATTGTAACACCAAAATAAGATGGATAATGATTTAAATCATATCATTCTAACACCACAATTAATAACACGTGTGTATTATAACACCACAATTAATAACACATGTGTATTACAACACCAGAATTAATGATACGTGTGTATTATAACACCACAATTAATAACGTGTATTACAACACCACAATTAATGACACATGTGTATTACAACACCACAGTTAATAACACGTGTGTATTATAACACCACAATTAATGACACATGTGTATTATAACACCACAATTAATAATGTGTATTATAACACCACAATTAATAATGTGTATTACAACACCACAGTTAAGAACACGTGTGTATTATAACACCACAATTAATAATGTGTATTACAACACCACAGTTAAGAACACGTGTGTATTATAACACCACAATTAATGACACATGTGTATTATA